AGAAAAATTTCGATTAAAATTCAAAATTTCCCTGCGATTTTTTTTAAGCTCAATGGATTGTTTGCGGCCTTAGAAGCGCCCCGATGGGCATATTCAAGATGCTCAAATCTGTAGAAAATATCGTCGGTTAAACATCGTAACCGCGCAAAACTTGCTTAAAATGAACCAAAAAGTCGATTTCGCCTGACCTGAAGCGTCCAGGGTGTTTTTCAATGAGCTCGTTGCATCTCTCGAGATAAAAATGATGCGAAATACAATGCATTTAAAAAAAATGGTTTTTTTTATCGAAATGCTTACTGAAAGTTTCCTAATCCCTATCTTGGCGTCTTTGACCACTAGTTTGGGGAATCTTTTCAGAAGAGTCATTGATTCGTTGTGCACTTATCGAAGGAACTTGGCCCTAAAATACCGCGTGTGGTTTTTTTGCAGATCAACAATTTGCCAAAATGTCCTTTTCGGGTTCAGGGACAGTAAGTGAAGCTGCCACTTGATTAGAAACAACAGGCAAAACATGTCCAAACTCCACGTTATCAGCAATTCCAAATTTATTTTAATATCAATACGCAAACGCTGATTATCGATTGTTTGTTTGTGTGTTTTTGCTACTGGGACACATACATGTATGTATGTGTATGTATGTAGTTGTTTCACGAAGGCTAATGGATATCATTTGAGTTAAAAGCGTTGGTTTTCAAGGCGCGAAACGATCAGTCATAAGAGCAATGCGTGATTTGGTTGTTGTCGAGCGGACAGACAGCCAGTCAACGGGGGACAGAAAAAGAAAAGAGAAGACAGAAAAAAACAAGAAAATAAGGGCAAAAACCCGACTGGCGGGAAATCAATTAGCCATGTGCGAAGATTGATTGTCTATCTGTTTTTCGTTCATCTTGGGGCCCAAGACGGAATGTTTCTATGGCGATGTGGAGGAGAGGAATCACGTCAATACTCAATTTGGCCCGAACGTTCGCAGCACGCGTCTTTGAATAGCAGGCGAAATCGGTTGCATGTTTCTTATGACGTCCAAACTCAATGTTTTGATCCAAAAATGGACGAATTACAATCAGGACGATATTGTGCCGACAATTTCCACATGATGGAATTAGTGGGACGAGGGCGGTTTCATTAACTGCACTCGTCAACGACTTTTGCGCGCTCCACAAAACATAACAACTAAACGAAAAATCGTTGGATTTCAACCACAAAAGCCCCAAACGAATAAAGGCTACAAAGTGAAATATTTAGAAAATTAAACTATCGCAAAGAGTTGTAAGAGAAATAATTGAATCGTCGGGCTTCTGCGACTTTGTCCCGTTAAATCTCGAATTTGCAGTGTTGACGGTGGCATCGAAATGGCAAAAACATTTAAGATTAACGAATCCATGTTAAATTTAGATTAACGCCTTCGAGTTTTTGCCGGAAATTTCCTAGGAGTGGAGTTCGATGCTTTCGAAAAAGATCGATTTTCTCCAAAACACCGTAAATTTGCCTAATTGGAAAACTGAAACAAGCAGCTACAAAATGCGTCTAGTAGAAACAGATATAGAGATAGATATGTAGGCGTGGCAACATGATTAAAACATAATGGACTTTGCCTATCACAGTCCGATTTCCATTGTTTTGTCTCGCATATTTCCCGGAACAAAACATTGTAGTTCTGGTCGAAAACGGCATTTCCGCGAGAAATTCTAAGGAAAAGTGCTAGAAAAGGGCCAATCTACAATGTGAGCACTGTTTTATTACCGAGATCCAAAGGGGGCAGAACTAGATAATTATAAAGAATATTTCGTTCGTATGATAATCTGTCCGTTTGAAGTGTGCAATTAATCACTCAACGATAATTGCATTGTTTACAAAAAATATTTGACAGGTGTCAATGTTGAATTAGACATAAAATGTCTTCCTGACATACCTAAGATATTCAAATTATATTTAATAAACATAAGTAATAAAATTAAAAGTTTAATAA